GTGGTGGTGGAACTTGTGGTTGGTGAGGAGGAGCGATGGCTGGAGCTGGGACAATGCGAAGGTCCTGAACGTCCGGTTCGGTGGGTCTGGCTTTCGGTGCAGGTGGAGGCGTGGCGATCAATGGTGGTGTGGTTGTAGGTGGCGGTGTCGGTGGTGTAGGATTCGGTGGAGGTTCATCATGTTGAAGAAGGAGTTGACGTTGTTCTTGTGCACGTTGAGAATCCATGATCAATTGTTGCTGAGCTTGAATAAGTCGAACAGATTCAGCAAGTTGTTGTGCAGTGGAACCCAGGGATGCAAGTTCAGGTGGCACGGATGAAGTCGGTGCTGTCGTAGGTGCCGGTGTTGTAGCGTGAGGAGGGGCTTTCGGAGCTGGCCTGCGCGGTCGATCCGGTCGTTTGTCAGAGCGATGCCTGGGAGCTGCCTTGACTGCTGGGGCCCGTGGTGAAGGCTCATTTGGAGGGACCGTCGATGCGTCCATCTGTAATGGAGGTTGAATGTGGTGAGGTGGGTATGGAGAACTGGGCAAAGGTGTCGATGTCATAGTCGATGTAGGTGGTGTAGTCGATGTAGGGGATGGAGCCCGAGGGGAAGGCCACGTGGGTGGAGCGGTGGGTGCCATAGGAGATGGAAAAGTCGACGGAGCGGTGTGCACCATAGTTGGTTCAGGGGCCAAAGGCGAAGGCATGGTGGGTACGAGCTGTGGGCCTGGTACCACATGAGGAGCCGAAGTCAATGAGGTGAACGGCAACGATGTTGGGGTTGATGTAGACGGCATGAGCGACGCTGAGGATGACCATGTAGGATGCAAGGCCGAGGGATGTCCAAATAGATGTGCATTCGGCGTTGATTGCTGCCACGTCGAAGATGGGTTCGCAGGCTGCGGTGGAGCAGGCCATGACGTTGGCGGAGTGTTCCACGGATGCATCGCTCCAGTAGATCAAAACAACAGTGAACAATCACATACAGGATTCAGTCCCTAACAGCCCTAAAAAGTCGTGCGATTATTCCCTGCACCGGGACCGTGGTCAAGTCGTGCCGCAATGGCATAAAACAGCTTCCAAGTTCCAACGAATTAAATGCACAATATGTTGCACCTCACCAAATAACCATCAAGAGAAAAAGTCACCACACCTGAAAGTCATGTGCCTGCCTGTGGCAAGTGTCGTAACATGATGCAATGTCGCTGTAAAAGTGCTGCAAAAAACGGAGGTTTCTGGCAATTCAGAACGGCTTCACAGTTGAAGAAACGCATCGGCGAGGAATCCCTGGGACCACAAGATCAGCGGGACAATTTCAAAAGGCTGGAAAAACAGTATGGCCGGCTGTTGCAGTTTACTTAGATGAATTACCAACTTAAAATTCGTAAATTCGGTAGTCCGGACAGTCATCACTCACCCTGAAAAGGGTTGCCTCAATTGGCTCCATGGCACCATGTCGGAGCCACCATGGAAATCACACTAGACAAGAATGGATCATTATATGATCCGGCAGGAACTGAATCCTGAAACATGCAAACCAGCCTAGATCGTTAGATTAATAAAGGAGCCGTATGAGGTACTTCTCGAAAACGATGTAGGGCATCCAATATTGTCAAACGTAGTTAAAACCAGAGTCCATAGAGTTTTGACCAGCATGTTGAAAATCCAAAATAATGTTTCGGCGATTGTTTCCCAAAAAGACCCAAAGTTCGTCGGCGACATGATCTCGGCGAAAATATGCCAAAAAATCATAATACTGTCGGCGATATGGTTTCGGCGAAAATCTGAGGAAGGTTCTGATGCATGCAATACAGATTGTGGCAACCGTGTAGAGTCGAAACAACGCAGTGTAACAGCTTGGTCAACAGTTCAAACAGAGTTTTGCAGGTACAAGTGGTTGATCAGACCACTCATCCACCGAAATGCCATAGCTTCGTTGGACTGGATAGGCAAATCGGCTCCAGTCCCCCTGCGAATATAAACAGGTTTCCTGTAAAAGTAACACGGCAAGAGTCAAGGAAGTTTTACATCTGTTCAGATGTTACACACACACACAAAAGCCCTTTGCGGTCTCGAGAACCGCGCACAAGGTCAGTTCAGTCTGACCTAGGTGATCTCGGCAGCCGTTTGCCCTTCGTTTTGCCTCGGGGTTGCCATAGACTGCAGTGTGCAAGGGGTTGGCTCCCGCCACACATTCTGGCCTACTGACGATTTTTATCTCATTTTTGGATTGCAGGCTGGGCTGGGGCACCCACACTGATTGTCCCCTGGTGTAAGTGTCGACAGATTGAATCACCCCTGCTGGCCAACGTTTTGCCCTTGTGGTGATCAGTCTCATATTGGTTGCAACAACTGGACACAATGCACATTTTTGTTTGGATATTGATCACCTGGTTACAACGATTTGTTCTCGACGACCTCAACCCGGTCCCAAATCCGGGTACGTCCTGTATTTTTGCAGACATGCCGGTGCACTCCAAGCTCACTGAGCGTCAGAGACTTCTGATCGAACTGCCCGGCATACACGTCACAGGACGTAAGGGTGAGGGTTCCTGCCAAACCACAGGGGCAGGTGAAGCAATCCATTGGTTGCCAATTTTGACACAGACAGCAAATTGTGGACAACCGCCGACAATGGGCTCCGGCCCACCAATGCAGGTCCCCAACACGCGCTGCACTAAGATACGGAAGAGAAGCTTCCAACGAGCATGCAAGCGTGCAATACAACATGGCATGGCATGGTTTCGAGGACAAGCATACACAATGGAACATTTTCCTCAGACTTTGATCAACAAATGTGAATCCGTACAAAAAGCGGCACCGACATCACACAATTGGTGCTCCCACAAGGACCAATCCCAGCGACTCAGGGTGATGCAATGGAACCCTGGAGGACTCTCCCAGAGTTCCTTTTTGGAACTGAAGTACTGGCTGAGCCATCAACCAATAGACATTGTGGTGCTATCGGAGACGAAGTGGAGCTTCAATTCCTGCTGGTCAGACGCACAATGGTCATATGTGCACTCAGCAACAAAAGAACCCCGCTCAGGAGGGGTGCTGATCATGATCGCCAGAAGTCTGGGGCCACCGGACTCCATCGGCTTTCAAGCATTGGAAGATGGCAGACTATTGCACGTACGTTTGCATCAGACAAAGAGGGCCATTGACATCCTGGCGGTCTATCAGCATGTGGACCACAAGACCACCCAATCCCGCAAACTGAGGGCCGACTTGTGGGCCAAACTGAATGACTATGTAGGACAGCTTCCACAGCGTAATCAGTTCATTTGCAGCGGCGATTTCAACACAGCCCTGCCGGGCCTTGCTCCTTGGACGGGGACCGGCCACTTTCACTGGAAAGGGTCCAGAACATGTGGATCACAGCACGACGACATGCATCACTTTTTGGATTTCCTGAGAATGCATTCTCTGACTGCACTCAACACCTGGGTGGAGACCACAGGACCGACATACCATCATGGATTGGTTGCCTCTAGGATTGATTTCATGCTCATGAGACTACATGCATGCGACGGACAAGCCAAAGCACCAGTATATCTCAAACACGCTGAGTTTTTGCCACTTAATACCACTCATCACATCCCCATTGTTGGTTCAGTGAGACGTATTCACATGGCATATCAGGTTCACCGCATGATCAAGGCTTGCACCTTTGCGCAAAGAGCCCAATGCAGGATGGCCCAACTTCAGGATTCCGACCAATGGAGGGCACTCACATCGGCTGTTGACCAAGTCACTGAGGCGCTTATGGACCCAATGCAAGACCCTGAACAGGTCATCACGACCCTACATCAGAGTGTAATTCCCATTTTTCAAGACCTTTTTCCAGGAAAGAAATCTCCGATACAGCCAGTCGATTATGATGATTTTCATAACATGGTCCAGACCAAATGGCATCATAAGAGAGTAATCCAACAGACAGTTGCCATGAATACCCAACCGACACTGCAGGCCATTTTTCGGACTTGGTACCATTGGGGACGATTCATCTCTGCTCAGCGTGCCCATCAGAAAGAGGCCAGACAGGCCAGAGCCAAACGTTTTAATGACTTATGTCAGCAGGTTCAGCAGGCAGCCGACAGACATGATGCTCATGGCATGTTCACTATCCTCAACAAGTTTACCCCCAAAAAATCATGTGCCAAGCCACGTTTGCGTACACCTGATGGGAAAATTGCAGACCAATACACGGCGCATTCACTGACCGTTGCCTATGTGCGAACCACGTGGCAGGGACCTTCCAGCCTGCCACATTTCAGTGATACAGCCCCGGGAGTGCCTTTTTCCATTTCAGACCTCTGCACGGCTTTGCAGAACCTGCACCCGCATAAAGCAGCGGCAATGCCTTTCCTGCCAGCCACCGTGTGGAAAGGCTCTAGCCTGCAGGTTGCTGATTTCTTGTACCGAACCCTGACAACATGGTGGGGTCAATACCCTCCCTTCATTCCCCGAAGTTGGAAGGACTCTTGGATTTATTTCATCCCGAAACCGGGTAAGTCATGTGGTAGCCCCGATCAACTCAGGCCTATTTCTCTCATGGAACCATTGGGGAAACTGGTGATGGGACTTCTGACGTATCAACTTAAATGCCATCTTTCCCACACACTATGTCAGTCACCCCATTTTGGATTCCTACACATGAGATGAGCAGCTGATGCCATTGCCAGGGTGAGCAGTCATTGTAGGCAGATTAGAGCGCTGGTAGGCAATCACCGCAGGTCGGTTCATCACCAAATGCGTTCTCCTCCCATGTCGACGTTGCTGGGAGGAGTGCAGTTACTGCTTGACCTGACCCGTGCATTCGATTGTGTTGACAGGTCCATTCTCATTGAACATCTCCATGAACTTAACACACCCCACGATCTCCTCACCCTCATAACATGCTGGCACGAAAACACTCATTACAACCTGCCATTTCAACAAAATACGGATTCTGTCCCTGTAGGTGTAGGCCTCCGACAAGGATGTAAAATCGCCCCCCTATTGTGGCTGACCTACATGAACAAACTGCTTTGGCTCCTCACGCCCTTGACCGGTGAAGAATGGATCAGACAATGCTTGACATTGTACGCGGACGATTTGCATGTAGGCTGCCAGTTTCTGACCGTTGGTGCACTGGACCACCATTTGCGATGCATGGGCCATTTACTTGATTGCATTGAAAGACTCAAACTGCAGATCTCCTTGCAAAAGTCCTATTTGATCTTTTCCCACACTGGCAGCAACGTGCGGCATGCGCTCAAAGGCCGGCTGTGCTATCTACAGCATCAAGCACACCTGTTGCTATCGCGTTGCACTGGAGAAGCTACGGCGCTACCGCTGAAAACCATGGGTCGATATCTGGGTGTGATTGTTTCTTATCATGCTTTCGAACAACAGACGTGGCTTCATCGCAAGAAGACAGCCTGGATTGCATATGCTCGACTGAAACGCTGGCTCCGTCACAGACAGATTCGACAAACTCATCGAGTATATCTCTGGCACACTTGTATCCATACAATCCTTACATATGGCATCTTCGGTACAGGAGTCACAGTACAGTCGCTCACTGATTATCAGCTTACAATATTCCAAATGATTCGACTTCTGATTGGTGACCACTCCTACATGACAGGGAACACACACCAGAGGGCCATACAGAATCAATCTCTTCCACTTCCCCTGCAGCTTCTGAAGCATGGCGCCGAGAAGCTATGGCTGAGACTTCAGAGGCGTGCTCTGCAGCTGGACTCGACAGATTTTCTACAGCAGGTGGATTGGCAGCACCATCACGACACAATGCGTTTGATTGATCAGGTCCATGGCAGCATGCCGGAAGTCCCCATCGATGGAGACGCCTTGATGAGGACGCCACAGGTGCAGTACATATGCTCACATTGCAGTTTCATCACCAACACCATTCCCAATCTCAGACGGCATCATACTGTTGCACATAACATGGCACAATATCGCACTACACCCAATACCATATTGGAAATGTCCTTACATGGCAGAGCTCAGTGCAAACGCTGTCACAAACACTTCACCACCTGGAGAAGCTTTCTTATCCATGTGGAACGCTCTTGTTGCCAGGCAAATGAGCCGCCTAGCACAGCTGCACCAGCCGCACCCGTGCTCAGTAGCAATCGGGCCGAAAGAAACAGTTTCCAGGTCACAGCACAGCCATTTTGGCCGGTCCTGAAACAGATCATCCAAGAGCAGTCATGGCACCGACTACAGGAACATCCTGACATTGGCCAGTATCTGACTCACCACTGTATGATCTGCGGCATATGGAACAATCGCTGCCAGGAACTTCATGGTCATTATCGGCTCCACCATTCTGATGTAGTGACTGGTATTTTTGCAAAAAGCGCTCAGCTGACCAAGGTCTTGAGATCCCCCAGCCCGTGTGTTCTCTGCCAACGGGAGTTCATGCATGGACACACATGCACAGTGTTCACCCAGATAGCTGCACTGCTACTGCATTGCCAGACTTCCGATGTGGATACAGACCGTGTCCTTAGGTGTGAGCTGTGCCAAACCAGATGCGATGACCTTCAGAGTTTGCATCGACATTTGAAGGCTGAACATGATGTGACAGTCTTCGACTGGAACTTTGCCAGAGACTCAGTACCGGGCTCCACAGCATGCTCTCACTGTGGCAAACCATTCACCTCTCGTGAGGGATTGAGAACTCACATTATTACTGGCAAATGTGAATTTTTCGATCCAGCAGCCACAAACCACCCTCTCAATGCGGCAGACAAGTGGCGCACTCAGCTGACACTTGGGTTTTTGGACAAACAACATCTCTCAGCTCACCAGCGGTTACAGCTGACGCTGCATTGCCAGCTATGCGGTGAAGTCTATGTGCGATCCAATGATCTTAGCGCGCATCTCCAACAGGCGCATGGGCAGCTCTGGCAAAGAGCCAATGACATGGTCAGGTACCTGCTCCAAACCCTGATCAGCAGCCATGGTTGCATGTGCAATCCATCGATCAACGACGATAGCAGGTCCCACATATGCCCAGGAGTTCGACAGATGGCCATGATTTTCTACACCAGTGAAACAGAGATGTTCATACCACAGCAATACAATGAGCAAACCCTGAGACTCACTCATCGTGCATTGGCCAACCATGCGCGATTTCAGATGCTGCTTAATGTGGTATCGGACAGAGATTTCAGTCACCTATGGCATGCCCCGGCCCTCCTCCAAATGTTCAGGCATTGGTGCACTCTGTGTGGAGCTTGGTTCCCAACTGCAGCCCTGATGACACATCAGCTGATTCATCATCATGATGCTTGTACGTGGGCGGCCCAGCTCAAATTTCAGCTGGTTCAATGCATGCAGATGGAACAACAACAGGACTATCAATGCAAATTCTGCAAGTTGTTTTTCAATGACAGCACGGTTGATCCTGACGCTGCGGCTGAACGAGCTGAACAACTGCAGATACATTTTGCCTCAAACTGCCCTGTCCTTCAGCAAATTGCCCTAGTGCTGCAACCACTCCATGGACGATCAATTGATGCTCGATCAATCGGACACGGAACTTCTGCAGTCCTTTCAACACCTGGGGCCACTCCTGATGCAGGCGAGCCAGTACATGCGGGAAAAAGACGAAGAGCCGCTGAACAAGAAGCTCAAACAGGAGCCCGTCGGCGTCGACAAGGCCGCAATGCCACCCAGCCAGCAGAACAAAGCCCTGCTCACGCTGATCCATCATCTGGCCAAGGTGGTCCTTCAACACGATCGGGCAATCCAGATGGATCGCAAACAGGACTCCTTCGTTATCTTTGCCCAAGTCAGCGCGGAGGGAGCGCTCCCGTTGCTGACGTTGAAAGCCAAGGAATGGAAGGACATGACGGAGAAGACCACCACACTCCGCACCTACCTGCTGAAGCACCTGATCCTGGAGATACAACAGAGGGCCATCAAGCTGTCCCAGAGCTCCCAGGGGACCCAGCTGTGGGACGTAGCAGTATCCAAGGGGGTGATCCTCCAGGACGGATCATGGCCGTTCCAACAATGGTGCCACACGGAGAAGAAACTCACCAAGTCCCATCGAGCGCCACTCCCGATGAGCCGCATCCTGAAGGATCTGCAGTTCATGGTGGATCTCCTGACCGACAACGACCATGTGATGCGCTTCCACTCACTGAGGCCGCAAAGCCAGTGTGGTGCCGTGGATGCTACAGCTCAACATGCGCGAGGACGATCTTTGGAGACTCTTTCATCAGCTGAGTCAGTCCACCCTATGGGGACTCATGGGCCTGAGCTTGAAGCAGCACAACCAACAAGCCAGCAAACCAGCGCAGCTGCTGGAACAGCTGACCAACACCCAGGGGACGGCACCCAAAGGACGCGGCAAGGGGAAGACGAAAACCAAGGCCACATAGCTCATCAGTTGCGCGTGACCCTTCGACAGGAGGTTGCAAAGCTGACACTTGGCAACACGGGCCATATGTGCTATGCCAACAACGCCTTCACCTGCTTTTTGTGGTCGGCCCTGAGCAGACGCAATTTCACCATTACAGATTGGGGACATCAACATGCTTTGTTTCGTGAGCTCCTGCTGACACCCAGGCCTCAGCCATTGAATTTGGATGCTCAACCCTGGTTTCAAGGTATTACCATGAATTGGGATGACAACAGAGGCCAAGCTGATTCAGCGGAGTTCACAAGCATGCTGTTGCAATGGGTTGCACCATCTTTTCTTAGCTGCCACTGGCAACGCAGACTGATGGAAAATGATTGCGTGCGTGTTCATGATCACAGTGATCGGTTCCAACCTCTCACACTGCAATTGGACCCATCCCACAACACAGATGGCATTGCACGCTTGACTGACATGCTGAGGCGGTGGCACAATGACTTGGGCATGTGTGCTGGCCTCATGCACGCCCCAGAGGTCGTATGCGTCCACGTGGACAGATTCATTTATGAAGGACATGGCAGGTTGCGCAAAACAGATCTGCCGGTGTTCTTTGGATGGACAGTGGACGTGCCCATTTTTGTTGCTGATGGCTTGGAGTGCACATGGGAACCATACCAAATGACTGCTGCCTTCGCACACCAAGGGGATGCTGCCACGGGCCATTACCAGGCCCTGTTGCGCACACAGCCCAGTGTCAGACACCACAATGCTGACACCTTTTGGCTGCACTGTGACGATGACCGCCCACCCCGGCCATGCTCCATGCTCCCAAATCAGTTCCAAGAAGGTGTGACATGCATTTGGCTATGTCGACAAGATGCCATTGATCTGCATGCCTGGGAGGAAGACCTGCTGTCCACTCCACCAGGTTATGCACAAAACCCTGACCAGCTGCTGAAGCTTTTGCAGCAGTCCTGAATGCATCCGCCTATGTTTCCACCGCCCATAAGCCCTCCAGTGCCCTGGAGTGTACCGTAGGTATCCCCAGTAAAAAAAAAAGGTGAACTGGTCCAAGAGGCAAAGCCCAACGTTTCACGAAGACCAGTATAAAAAAAAAATTAGGCGGCTTAGACTTGTTTCACCGTGATTCGTTTCACAATAGGCATCCAAAGTTGGCCTACTCCCTGCGTGGGTTGAGCCCAGCGATGCCAAACAGATACCTAGCAGGTGATTCCGAAGAGTGCCATTTTGGCAGCAACCGACCCGGCACTTTGCCACCAACACCCAGCCTAGCCGGCGCCATCCAAGTAGATATTCTGATCATAGCTTGCCTTGGAACATAACTGGACACATTGCCTGTGCAGCATGACACCTGGACAAAAAAAAACCTTTTGCACAACGGCTGTAACAGCCAAACGCGCTGATGGGCCATGCATCAGCCGTCGACCCCAATGCACCCAGCTCCCCGCTGGTAGATCCCCTTCCCTTTACACGCCCACTGAAACCCAGTGTGTACCCCCAGTTCTACAAAAAAAAACACTGGTCCAAGAGGCAATAGCCCAATGTTTCAAGAAGGCCAGTATTAAAAAAAAAACGTCCAGATTTTCTCACTGCCCAAAGCGGCGTCCAGCACTGTGCACTGGTGCGTCTTTATCGCCACACAGACATGCCTGCAGACGCATGACAGGCTGCCACTTTTTGCACTTGCCTGGTCATGACACTTTTCCCAATGGTGTTCATGACGCAGCAGCCTGCGGGGGACTCCAATAGTTTCTCACCTCGTTGAGAACCGGCCTGGCAAGGTACCAGAGCTGACGGCGTGCGCCGGATCTGACATCAGAAAAGGAGCGTGGAAAAAAAAACACACACACACACAAGCCCCTTTGCACCACGAAGGTGCGCTCAAGGCACTGACCTTTTAGTTGAGGCCTCACCCTGGTAGCTTCTGTCCTTGTGATTCTAGCTTGCGCCACGGAGTGATCCTCCTTGTTGCGCTGGGGTTGCCCTGACTGCCGTCGCTGCGCTGTGCCGCTGGCTGCTGTGCGCTGCTGCCTGCGCAATCATTGCTGGTGAACTTCCCTGGCTAAGAGCCACTGCCTACGACACTGCCGGCACTGCATTATCTTTTGTGCTGTGTATCTAATCCTTTGTTTTGGTGATTTTATTCTCTGGCATTCGGATCGACCTTATTTTGGATAACGCGCCTGCTGGCTAAAGCGCCCTTGCGCATTTCCTTCGGTGGATGACGTGGACATTTTTGGGATTTTTACTGTCATTGTACATCTTCTTTGACCATTTGGTGCCATTGAGTTCTACATTGGAATCAAATTGTGGTGCGACCCGGTCCCAATTCCGGGCTGTGGACCACCAGGACTGTGCACATCTTGTACGGACCAACATCAGGTACAGTCCATTTGGTGCTCCATTGTGGGGTGAGGGTTGTGTCATTGCCATGGATGACACGAGAGCAGGGCATTCGAGCTCACCTTCCAATCTTGAAGTTCCTGCCAAACCACATGGATTGGGGCCCCATCAGATCTTCGGATCACATCAGACTGGCTTGCAAAGGGAGGTTTGCAAACGAAGTTATAAACGTGCGCTACATCGCGCAGCTCAACATGGAGTGACCTGGTATAAGGGGAGGTTGTTCACTGCTTCTCAGATGGGTGTCACCTTGAAGCCCTCGACACCTATGAAACAGGTGAAGAACGTGTTGCCTTCGAAATCAACACAACGCAGACGTCTAACCTGCTTCAGCTGGAATTGCAATGGACTTCCCCCTGCTCACTGGGATTTTCTGATGATGTGGTTGGAAAACCAGACGATTGACATTCTTCTTCTTCAAGAAACACATTGGCCTTATACACGTGATTGGATCTCTGACAAGTACATGATGGTGCACTCAGGATCTCAAACTCAACAGGCGGGACTATTGCGCATGGTTTCCACAAAAGTTTGTCACTCATCTGAATTGTCCTGGTATGAACATCTGCCGGGCCGAATTCTTCAATTGAGGATTCATGGAACTTCCAGATGTATTGATATTCTTAATGTTTATCAGTATACCTGTACACCGGCTCATATGGATTCTCGCAATCAAGTTTGGCATTTGCTTTTCACAATTTTGACCGGCTTCTCCCGTCGAAATGTTCTCTTGATGGCCGGTGACTTCAACTGCTCTGCAGATCAAAGATCCAGTGCGGTGGGATACCCCGATTTTCAACGAGATGGAAGACGCTGCCATGGTCCTAGACATCCAGATGCCAATCATTGGCGACAACTCCTTGTGCAGTTTGATTTGATGGCACTTAACACTTGGCAAGCCTGTGACAACGCCACCTACGAATTTGGTGATCAATGTTCACGTATTGACTTCATATGCACGAGACGCACACATGCTGATCCTATATCTCGTGATGTCAAACAACTACGTGATTTTTCATTGGTCCCTATATCAGGTGCTTTTCATGTGCCATTATTGACTTCACTCAGGAGAGAATGGTATGCTGCACAGAGATCCCCAACCACGGGATGGACACGGCAACAACGATTGAGGCTGAGCCAACATTGTCTCAATCAAGACGACATATACACCCATTTTCAGCAACAAATTCATCAATCTGTTTCCAATCTCTTGGATACCTCTACATCGGATCTTTACACCCTTCACAACACGTTGAATCAATTCACTTGTTCATCTTTCTTTCACTTTCAATCCAACAAGGGCCCTACCACAGATATTCAACCATTCAGACAATTTCAGGAACACACACGCTTCTTACGCCGACTTCGTGGCAATGACATCACTGACATTTTTCAGGCCTGGTTTCATTTATGCAAGCGAAGTCAAGCCCGCAAAGCCATGACCCTTGCTGCCAGACAGAAACGGAAGATCAGATTGGATCAGGTGTTTCATGCAGCAGATCTTGCAGAGAAGGCCCATGACCACTTCACCTTGTTTCAACATATCAGATCATTGGCACCCAAACAACCACTGAAACAGATCATGTTGCGTTCTGAACAAGGTGAACTGCTGGGGCCTGAAGATGCTGCAGACTGGCTTCAACGATGGTATTGTGATCTCTACTCAGAGGGTGATTCCAGTTTTGTGATCCCTGATTTCAACTGGCCCTTCACACAAGAGGAGTTCACACTGGGCCTGCAGTCACTGCCGGCACATAAGGCCCTGGCTCCTACTTTTACTCCTGCACCATTCTGGAAATATGGCGCGGTGCCCATTTCTCAGTACCTCGCTCAGATGTTTCATGACTGCTGTGCGGACAAAGAGTTCCCAGATATTTGGAGTACTGGCGCCATTGCCATGCTTGTAAAACCAGGCAAGAGTGGACGGCATCCTTCTGAACTTCGTCCTATTGCTCTGTTGGAGCCGACAGGCAAGACGGTTATGGGTATGCTCACCAATGCCATTCAAATGCAGATCCAGTCATCCTTGAACAGGTTGCCCCAATTTGCTTATGCTGTTGGACGTGGAACTGAGGACGCCATCCATAGGCTAACAATGCATTGTCGTCAGGTTCGGGCAATCTTGCAAGATTTTTGTCACCCAATTCACAGCATGAAACAAGGACGAGCTCTGCCTTCTGTCGTTGGCGGCATGACACTTTGCCTTGATCTTACTCGTGCATTTGACACAGTAAATCGTCAGCGCCTCTTTTGCAGTCTTGAAAGATTGGGTACTATCACAGAACAAACCATGAACCCCTAAATAGGGCCTATATTTCGATTCCAAAAATGGCCCCATCACGGCAAAGACAATGTAGCCAATCGGAAATAGTGAAGGATATTCTCGAAGAGCATGCAAAGGTCGGTGGAGCCTTCACAGGATGGCTGCAGGCGAAATGTTTCATTCCAGCTCCTCAGTACAATGATAACATCTGGGCCAGTCCAAGTCCCCTGCAACCCCTGCAGTCAGCGTTAAAGTGACAAAAGCAAGGTGGGCCAGAGAACCCAAAAGCATGACGGCACACAGCACGCCTTTTAATCTTGTGGTGTGGGCAGCTGTGCTCTGCACGAAATCGACGTAAGATCTGTACTGAAGCATCGTGCGCACTGACGGTATCAGGGGCCACAATTCACCACAGCATGCTGTGTCAGCTACGTCTACATTCTTCTAGTCGCTTTTTCTGCTAATGTAATTAATTCCGTCCCATCTTATCTATTTCTGCGTTCTCATTTCGTTTGCTAGAGACCCCTAGAAAAATGTGACCACACCCAATCCCCTGCGACCCCTGCGGTCAATGTTGAAATTTGTCAATGTTTGAATACCGATCGAACAGACATCAATAGACATGAAAGGCTTTCATTCTGGGAGGTCTCCTCGATAGACATCAAACATTTATTCTGAAAAGTCCGCGGCATGTCAACATTGACTGCAGGGGTTCAAGGGGATCCCCTGCGGCTTTTCTTTCAACTAAGCAGCTGCACCTGCCAACAAACAGTACTGGGCCTTCCACAAACGCGCGTCGTACTACGCAATCATGAAGAGACATGCAAACTCAGATGTATAAACTGGTTCGCTCAGGCGCACGCCAAAAGCTGCATCGCAACCCTGGCGTCCATTCGGCAGGTGAGTTGTTACACGCTCCTTAGATGTATTGGACTTCCATGACCACCGTTCTGCTGTCAAAATGAAGAAAAACCTGTTGTGGCATCTGGAACATTTAAGCACCTTAGCCCAACGTTAAATTCATCCCTCATCGCCAGTTCTGCTTGCCAAAAACGGCCCACTTCTTCCACAAAAATTTGAGGCTCACGCCAAAAGCTGCATCGCAACCCTGGCGTCCATTCGGCAGGTGAGTTGTTACACACTCCTTAGATGTTTTGGACTTCCATGACCACCGTTCTGCTGTCAAAATGAACCAAAACCTTTTGTGGTATCTTGAACGTTTAAGCACCTTAGCCCAACGTTAAATTCATCCCTCATCGCCAGTTCTGCTTGCCAAAAACGGCCCACTTCT